GTTTTTTTCGATTTTGAAAAGAAAAATATTTTCAAAATAAACATCAAAATTATTTCATTACTACACTTGAAAAGCGGTTCTGGCAGCTTTTCTTTGGCTTTTCTCGGCTATTTCGTTGTATTTTACGCAGAAATTACTGGACATTACATCAAGTTTCCACGATACAGGTGGACTCTCTCTCTCTACAAGGATCTTGTCTACAACGATTTTCTCTGTTCAACGAATTTTGCTTGGTCCCATGCGGTTCTCTTTTCATGCTACAGAAGTATCTCTACAATGAGATTCTCTCTACAGCGAATTTTTCTGGCCACTTGAAATTTCGTCGTAGAGACATTCCACCTGTATTTTCATCAAAATTTCAAAGTTTAACACCCAGAAGATCATAAATAAATCAGCAGTTCCATACAAAGTTTAGCTTCAAAGTTGAGGAAATTATTGTAGCGGAGGGGACGAAGTCGGTTTGAAACTTCCATACTTGGACAATTTTTATAGCTAAACATTAATCGTTCAATAATAGTCTTCCCGTAGAATACACTTCTCATGGGAATGAATCCAGTCCATTAACCGAGGCAACACGGGCATAGTTAAAAAAAAACATTTAAATTTGTTGACTCACGCAGCGGGTCAGGGAAAATATTCGTCGGCGGGCCACGGCGAATCGTTCGCGCAGAAATCGTCGCAGGAATTATTGCCAGCAGGAAAAAAAGCCCAAAAATCACAATCGTCGCGTCGACGAAATATCCTTTCGTCGACGACACCGGGAACGTTTTCCCACACCGTTCAACAGAACGATGTCTCGTCCGCATCATCTCCAACCTGTTTCACGAAGCAAAAAAACCACGAAATAATAAATTTCCTGTACAGTTGAACCTTCATAACTCGAATCCCATGAGTCGAAAACAATTTTAAATCCCGCTCTGGATTCCGCAAGAAACAATGCATTAAAAACCTCCGTAACTCAAAGGGGTTTCCCCCGGAAACCTCCATATAACTCGAATCTTTTTTAGAGGCCGTTTGTCTATTATTTTAGTGGCTCAGGGAAGACAAAAGCAATAAAAATGCTACTTGAGTTGAACCTCACTAATAAGTCGAACCTCCCAAAGTTGAATACCTCCCTAAATCAAATTTGTTTCAAAGCCGTCTGGATTCCCTTAGAAACAATGCATTAAAAACACCCCGAACTTCAAGTATTTTTCTCTCAAACCTCTGTAAGTTGAATTTTCTGAGGCCTTTTGGTTATTATTTCCTTGAAATATGAAAGAGAACATCAATAAAACAATCAATTGTATGCATCCTGAAATAAAGTGAAGACTATTTGAAAAAATGAACCTCTGCCTCAAAGTCCAGCAAACTGTAAACTCATCAAGCAGCAAAAGTTTAGACTCAGAATATCCTCATCTACAATTTCCCACAATTTTTTACTTTTCCTCGCAGCAAAAATGTTTGTTTCCTTTACTCAAAACTTCAAAAAATCAAAACCTCCCTAGGTTGATTTTTTTTCTGGTCCCTAGAAATTCGACTTATAGAGGTTCAACTGTAGAGTATTTTGAAAGGAAATGAAAGAGTAATTAGGCGAACAAACTCTTCCCTTTGAAATTTCCGGTGATTCATCTTTCTTTCCCCCAAAACAAGGGCTTATTGTTTCCTTAATGCAAAACCTCCCTAATTCGAATTTTTTCTTTGGTCCATTATTGAAATTCAAATCATATTGCATTTCCGAAAAACCGCTGCAATTATATTCAAATTTCAACATGTTGAAAATACGCGTGTATTTTAGAATGACACCTTCCAATGAATCAAGATTAAATTGAGCTATTATCCAAGCATGCGAGAGAACGAGGGCCAATTATGCATTAGAAAAGGTCAATTGGAAAACGTGACCCCATGAATGGATTAGACTAGATGGAATCTCGAACGGGAAAATATAAGGGGTTCAAAATATTATTAAAAGATCAGAGATTCAGAATTTATGGTATGATTTAAACCTTGAATCCAACACTACCAGCTTATCAGTCGTAAAATTAAAAATGCATCGCGAAAATCTCTGGCCGATGTCTAAAAAGTAATTGTTTGGAGAGGGGGAAAAAATGCAAAAATCCTGTCCAATTTATTCCACGAAAATCCCACGCATATTGCAATCAAGGGTTATTATAATAAATTACTGTATATGCAGCGATATTCAAAATGCACAAAGATGCTCACCCCTGAAGCAAATCAAATTTTGAATGACTCGAAATATACAGTATACACCGACTGAGATGCGAATTTAACACTGCACATATGATTATAAGAGGACACTCATGGTAAAAAAAAATTATATATATCCAATTTTGAATAACTGATTTTCCTAGCTATTATATCATGCGTCAGGATTTTATTTCCAGGCTTTATATTTTCACGAGTTTCATGAAGGGCATCGCATTCTTCCTTGGAACCTTTTTCGATTGAAAATCAAAAACGCGTCATCACACTCAAGTTTCAAAAGCGATTAATCAATCGACTAATTTACAACATATAGAAAGGATAGGGTTCCACGAATTCTATAGGAAATGTTTACAATTGTGTTCACTGATGCACGGATTGACTTCGCGTCCTTTCCCTGAACTTTACAACACATAAATGCAGATCCCGTGGTGAAGTGTTTGTATATGTAGCCTCTCG